CCATCACATGCACAGTCATTTATCAACATATGTGCATGTTTTACTTATCCTTATTCTCCCACCCTGGCAGATGGGAGGCATGGAGGACAGCACTCTTAATGCTCTGGAGGTATTTCCTCATGACCCGGTGATCGTGACTGCTGTCTTTGAGGTGGACCCCATCGCTGGCCAAGAATTTCATTTCTGGATCCCAGAAGCCGTGATGGTGCCAGAACAAAATGTTGCTGGTAGATCGGTGGCACTGATCATGCAGGAGTTTATTAGTGTCAATCACTTTAAAATTATAGTGGTCCCCTACTTTGGATGGATGTCTGCGTAATAACTGTCCAATTATTACAAAGGAAAATTTGTTAGTTAACAGTAAGAATTGCGCTAACGACATAATATTCCGAGCGACCTTGTTTGGTGTTGCTTGTGGATTTGACAAATCATTCCCGCCAATTTGCATAAAACAAATGGCGCCCTCAATATGTATGCCCTGAAAGTCCAGCAATTCTCGAGAGTTGGCTAGATCTTGTGTCTTGAGGCCGCCCCTGGCTCTAATTAACACTTTAAATTTATCTTTATATAGTCGTAAGTTATCAAAATCTGGTTCATTCTGCATCAAAATTCCGAGTCTCCTGATGAAGGAATGACCTATCACCACCACTGTGCGCGGTTTTGGATCATCAGTACTTGCCGCCTCCATGCCGACTTATACATTCAGACAATGAATCAAAGGTTCAAATAATTACGCACCTTAGATAGTGTCACAGCAAAATATAACTGTATATTAAATCGATGAAATCGATATCCTTGTGTTTCTGCTGTTTAAAAATTTAATCACAACCTCGTGTTTCCACAGTCAAATATAATGGCCGATCACGCTGAACCCGATCTTAACAGGAGTTCGATCCCGATGTCAAAACAATAAGTCGAGAACAACTGTAATTTCATCTTTGTCAAACAATGTAAAAAAGATTGCATATAAAATATTTTATGGAACATAAAATTTTATTAACACTATGTACCGTAGAGATATATTTTTGTGTTACATGTTCTTTTACTGTCTAAACTTGTTTATAATCTGTTATAAAGGTATTCTTTTTTTGTTTTAAATCACTTTTTAATAATTTTTTTACCAATGGAATCCTTTTGTTTTTATTTTTCATTTTTATAAAATTCTTTTTGCATGTGATATTTGTAAAAAAAAAGATTAAAAGCAACAAGGATTCTCAAACAAAAAAAAATGCTATTAAAATTTGGACAAGTTTTGTTATTGCTTAACGAGTATAACTATAAAGCCATTCATCCTTTATAGATAAGAATATCAAACAAGATGTGCTTGTGAAACACTGATGCCCCCGTATAGCAACATAGCGAAGGTATTTTCTCAAATGCAAATCAAATATGTTGGTACCCAAAGTAAGGCCTTATCACAAGGAATTCAATTGTGAAAAATGAAAACCCCTGCGTCACCCGTTCTAAAGTTTAAAAGTAGGTCAAGGTCAAAAGGCAAACTTGTTGCTATTTAATGAAAGGTCTTGTCACGAGGATAACATATGTTAAGTATATGAAAGCCCTAGCCTCAACCGTTCAAAAGTCATGGCCAATATTTTATTTTTAAAGTAGGTCAAACTCCAAGATAAAGGTCAAAGTTGTTGGTATTCAGTGGAAGGTTTTGTCATGAGGAATACGCTCGAATGAGCTCAGATTTCCTCATTTAATTTTGGAGTGACCAGATTTTGCATATTTTTAGGTCGGTTATATTTGTCATTCACTTCCGTTTTTTTTGTCAGAATCCACTAAGGCTCGAACGCCGTCAGTTGTTACTTTGGCGAGTTTTTCGTGAATGTCTCCGCCACACTTATCCTCCGAGTCAAAGCATTCGGCCAGATCATCAAGCATATTTCCATAATCATTGTCAAAGTCTTCATTTGCTTCATTTCAATTGTTATCAAACTCGTCTCTCTCTTCATTAGAAACATCGCATAAGGGGGATGTCCGGCCACCTTTAGTGCAATAAGAACAAAATGTAAACATTTCTTCAAATTGCTAAAATACATTGTATTTTGATCATATTTCAAGTCCTTATGATAAAAATACAATAAATTGAATGCATGGTTTGTATATAATCAATAATTTTGCAGAAAAATGCTTTTGATGTGCTCTTTAGAACTGCGCAGCTACAGAATTCAGCAGAGCCTTAAAAAATCCAAAAAAATATGCAAAGTGTGCATTAATGTTTTCTCTACAACCATTTGTAGAGAAAATGTCTAAATTTTGCACTTTTAAATGGTAATTTCAAGTTCAAAACAGGGTACTTGTTTTCAAAATGAGTGTAAAGAACCATGAAAGTAGTTCATGGATAGCAGCACGTGGTCTATTTTTAGTACAGATTTTTTTTAATATAGAGGTACATAATAATCTTTAAAATGTAGAAGAGAATTACAGTTTGAAAATGTTTCAAATAATATGAACACTTTTAAAAGGGGAATTGTGTTATATTGTGACTTAAAGTAATTAGTATTATTATCGAATAGTTGTTAAATAGTGTACGTGTTGATATAAAAAAAAACTTCAACTCTTTGATTCCTGGCAAGGAAAAATGAGAAACATCAAAGTTAAAAATTAAGAAATTGTAAGTCTGACAAAGATAACTTATCTACCAAAATTTTTATTATCACCAATGAAACACAAAGACAATTAGAGACATAAAATCGATATGAATGACATTGTTTTTATTTTTATCACATCGGAGCACCATTTCAAAAGGAATGAAATCATTCAGAGTGGGTTAGGAGATTTACTGAATAAAAATTATAACATATAAATAATATTAATAAATAAAATAATAAAAAATACAAATTTTCAGAGTAAAGAAAAAAAATCAACATATTTAAATATTTTAGACCATCTTTAAAATGATGTTTGGTGGTCCTCCCAACTCAGGGAAAAATTATGGGTACATATTTATAGGTGAAAACATTTTTGTCTTTAAAATTTAAACATATTTGTTGTCGGAATAAAATGAGAAAAAGTATCGTGTAATGGGATGTAAAAAAAATGAGTCGGACCATTTCTAGTCAGTAGGTCGGAAGAGAGGGCAACCAAACATTTATTTTAAAAAGTGGTCTTAACAATATAAGGCTAGTACATGTTCCATCATATACTTAGTGATGCAAAATTTCTGAATCTTTGGCACTATCGGGGTATTTTGAAAAACAAACAAAGGATTTCGGGTGGGTGGGGGGGGGGTAGCCTTCCACTTTTTCTTCTTTTTCATGAAGATAGACAGTGCATAGGCAAGGACCTTTCTTTGCAAACATTGTGCTCTCTTCTAAATTTCAAAGAAACAACTCAATATATTTTATCAAACTTCGTATGTGGGTGAGAACTTACAACTTTGTCAACATAATGAGACATGATGTGTTTTATTTCCAAACATTACTCCATACAACGTGTGGATCATCGCAAACAATCTCTAATTTTTGTGAGGTGCCTGAAGGAAATCCTAAAACTGACTTTTTCTATCTATCTGCTGAAAAAATTGACATATGTACCAACTTTTCGAATGTAATACATGTAATTACAATGTGTTTTTCATGCACCGCATATTGTTTAACATTATCAAATTAAGGTCATACGCAACGTAGTTTGAACTTTTTTGTCTTTTTCCGTGGAGTTGAAGAGTTCCAAATCTTGAAGGAACTGTTTGTAATATTTTAACTTCTGTATATGGTGTTGTACACTTCTTTAACAATTTTGGATAAAAGAAACATCTAGAATATATGTTAAGTATTAATTTTTTCATATCATTTTCTTTGAATCATCCAAATTTGTTCATCAATCAATATCTTTCAAAAACCCCTGATAATGCATGCTGTTTTTTGTCTATGAACATCTGATGACACTATAATATTCAATTAAAAAATATCTTGAAAAATTATCTGTAGGTAAGGTACGTTGCGTATGTCCTTAAAAAGCTAACTATTCTCCTGGCAGAGCCCCATTTGAAAATAACTTCTATCGCTACAGAAAGAGATCCGCCGTAAAGACATATGTATAGGACATTGTTTTATCTTTTTCTTGAGTTTTAAAAGAATCAACAAATTATCAAGATTTGTTCCATGGAAAATTAAATATAATCATGGTAATAAACGCATCTATCCACAGAAGATATATACACATGCCAACCACGTGCTCAGTGGAATGATATGAACTCGGAAACTTGAGCGATAAACAGAACAGTTTTTCCCGATTTGCTGGAGTGGGATTAAAATCCCTTTTTTCATTAATCAGACAATGCGATGCAACATATTAAAGTAGGAACTTATATTACCTAAGGATTTTTCCTTAGTAATTTCTTATCTTGATGTTGTTGTGATCGCATTTATTTAAGGAATAACTGTCTTATTTTTCGATTTCATGATGTGATCAATCGATTGGATAATTTGCACAAACGCCGAATAATTATGTTTTTATTCTCTTTACTGTTTAATAATTTTAAGCGTTAACAAAAATATTGAAAAATCAGCAGTTAAACGAAGTATAAAAAGGCATATTTCAGAAGCTTACTTGGTCTTTTGGAAAGATGATAAAATGCACAAAATAAAGAATGAACCACAGAAAAAAATGTTTTAAATTCAAAATTATTATATTGAATGGATGAAGGAAAACAATATTGATGTTCTTACAAGAAAGACAGATAAATCAAGCAAAAATATTAAAATACATGTAATTGTTATTAATAAAACGTGAGATAACTTTCACAGTTTGACCAGTTTCTTATTGTAACAAATGTTTAAGGAAACAAAAAAAAATGATAAATTATACAACGATCAGGAATGGCTCCTCTCATCCTATTACAAACATTGAGTGAATGAGCACAAGGCAAGCCATAAATCCCATAATAAAAACTGGAATACAGGATATTCCGACGGACAATATAAACCAATCTGAAAATAAAAACGTAACGCAATGAGCAATAGAATAAGATAATCTTTTGTTCAAAGAACATTGGGCAAGTACATGTGCTGAGTTAGATTAACTTTTTATAACTATTCAATTATATTTAACGTTATACATACCTGGAGGTGTATAACCGGATCCCTTGACCGGTTTCTTGACATTAACAAGCAATATTCCTGTAGTTTTATCGGCGCTGTCGTCACAGCATAGTTTCACCATATAAGAGTTTATGTCTTTGTAAGAAAAGGCAGGATTTGCGCTGGTTAAAATGGAAAAGACACCGCGGAAAGCACCTGCCGTCGAGTTCCCTGTAACATTGAAGTTCAGCGAAGAAGGAGAGACACTTTCTAGCAAGCAGCACACTTCGTCCCCAGAGGGATCCTCAACAATCGTAGAGTATAAAACTTGATCTCCGCCAGTCTGCTCAACAACAGCCATGGAGTTGGGAAGATCCAACATTTCTGGAGGCTGAAACAACACATATGAAAAGTAATTAAAGAAGATTTCCTATCTTACAAGAGAGATTTAAAGAATATTTTACGTTAAATAGATGTTATGGTGATAAACGTGTAGTTACTTCAAGAAACGTTGTATTTGCAAATCAGCTATAACGGAACTGTTACAGTAGATTTCAATTTGGTTAAGAGAAAATACAAAGACATATTAAGCAAATTTTAACTCGGCAATAAGACCCTACCCTGCAAATACAATTTTTTTCTGAATATCTTCTACAAGAAATGACGAGTTTGTCGATCGTTAAGTGAGAATAATGATCGCGTTTTAGAAATGTCGATGCTTAGAGAATATTGCTTTACGGAAGCAAAAGGCACAAAATTGGCATATTATTTTTCACGATGAAACATAACGTTTATATCTCAGGTCGACAGAGTTCTGTTTTGTTCATCTAAAAAGTGTAAAAGTTTTATCATTCAGCTAATAACTTCCCTTTTAATTTAAAAATGAACATGCCTAATCTGATTCAGTGTAAAAATTTGTATGAAACAAGTCAGCCAATAAGTCACCCAATGATAGATTAACTTTGCGAACAAGGTCATTATATATCCTTTTCAACTTCCTCATAAAGAGAACGAAAATATACTACAGTTGTAACTAAAAGAAACTTATCACTAGAGTTTTGGTCTAGGTAATACATTTAGCCTTTTTTGAGATCGTGCAAGTGAGAAGTTAACTTGCATTTTTCGAAAAATTCAAGGTTTAATGCAACAGTCTGAAAACTTATTGAATTTTATAGGGAAGAAACAAAAATTACCATATTTTGTGATTCTATGGAAACTGTCACTGTGGCACTGGTATTACACGCATCCCTTGCTGCTACACGCACTAGATAGTCCTTTAGAACTGTAGCTCTCTGCATCTTTTTTGCGATCTTTACTTGTCCTTTAAAAATGCATTCAATATGTTGAATTTCTTTCCATATGTTATTTCTTTTAATTGGTTACTGTTATTGACATCTTGCAAATACTTCAGTCTTATTTGGACACTGTCAATTGTCAGACAAAAATGTTTTGAATATACTACAGATGCTAAAAACGGATGCGTAACACATACCTATTCCGTCCACGACAAAGTATTGAGGGGAGTAATTAAAAGCAGGATTGGGGTGCTCCATGACAGTGAAGGTGACATCCTCAGCGTAATCTGCCCCTTCAACCTCTAACACCATCACAAAGTCACCAACTGCTAAATGGTCGGGGATCTCAGCCGATTGATTTTGGTTGTTAAAAGACATTGGTGTATCTGAAAAATTTTACATTTTGAAATAAACACAACGGATAACTCTCAAACTGTAGTTCTGAAAATTTTAAATATTACATTTCAAACACATTTTTTTTTATTTTAAATCTTTGCATTTCAAAATAAAGCTTGAAGCTGAAATTTTTTCATGCAACAATTTTCATTTTATGCCTCTAAGTATGATTCAATGGTCTTTAAAGTTTTTATAATCGTATTTAAAAAGTTGACATTTGTACCTCATAAAAGTAAGTTAAACTTGCATATTTAAAAAAAAAATCAATGTTCTTTTAATTTAGCCTTATTCACCAATGTTTATAAGCATGATTTGAAATTAGAAATGATTTCCGGTGTTTTTTTTTTATGGGAAACACTTTATACACTATGCATTATAAAACGATGGAAGTAAGTAGGAGAAACAAAAGTACCGATTCAGTATAAAAATCATGCAATTTTCTTTAAAAGCCTGGATACCTATGTATTTATTCCTAAAATGTATTGATCAATTATCATTAGAAAATATGCAGTAGGTAGTTCTAATCGTATTTCCTGAAATTTTATTTGAGATTTACTAATATTTTTATTACATAATATGATTAACTTTAAAGGTTTTAAGAAACACCGTGGGTAAATATATTTTACTTAGAGAATTTAGAGACATCTTTGTGAGCATTTTCAATTACTCAATGCCTGATTTTCAGAACCTGAGGATCGGATTACCTTAAATAATGAGAATAAGGAAAATTCATGATAAAATGATATAATACATAATAGTAATATGTAAAGGTAAAGATAATGAATACATCTTTTTTTTAAATAAAAAAGCACTTCAACTCTGTTGGGCTATAAAGTGATTAGCCTGTATTTTCTTGTATACTTTTGTAACGAGAAAAAGAATTTTGATTTCATGACAAACTTTTGATTTTTCGAATCTTTCCTTCAGATTTTTCTCTGATTACATTTTGAAAAATAGCCATTATAATCCTCATTATAAATTTTAAATGCAAATGAAAATCCAATATACGGTAGCTTCAAATAAGAAATTGAAAAATGTTTAACAACGTTGCATATTCATGTTTTAAATTTTCAAACTTAAATAATACACACAAAAAATGAGATAATGAAAAGACATTTAACATTTTGAAACTGCATTGTGATCTTACTTTCCTCAAGACAAGCTTTAATAGCATAAGCAGTGGTATTGACTACAGTTCCCTGGGTTTTCCAATCGAACAAGTCCCCTCTGATTAAATTTTTGGCAGAGTACGCTTTTAACCCCTCAGCACAAGGTCCTATACAATTTCCGTTTGTGATTATATTGCCATCATCATTGTCTGCCAGAGAGCGCCTACAAATACACATTTATTCAATAAATTTAGTAAAACATCCAAAAGGGTTCGTATAATACAGTTAAGCCTCATTATCGTGAAAAAATAATGGGTGCAACTCTAGTTATCTAAAACTAGATTTAACCGAAATATCCAAGAATTCAAGATAACAGAACTCAGCTCTATTTAAGTTGAAATAAAGTGTTTAGAAAGGGGCAAAAGTATTTGACCTCGTTGCAAAGTTGTCCTTTCTGTAGCATAAAAATATATGGGAAAATGTCGACAAACATAAATAAATGTTACATAAGAAATGATATTACTTTCAAAAGCATTTAAAACATTGACTCTACATATTTTTCACTCTATGAGTAAAACATATCTAGTAACAGAGTAAAACCGAATTAATCAAAATGATAATTAGAAAAAATCCAAATGGATGCATGAATCTTACCACCCAATTAAGTCACCGTCTAGAACAGCAATCCTTTCATATTCCACAACTGTGTAAGTAGTCGTATTGACACCTTTAAAGCAATTGAGAAATTTAAGCATTTGTATGATTTTTTTTCATTTATAGAGAAACAAGTATCATTTATTGAAAATCTTAAATATTGCTCAGTTCAACATAAAAATAAAATTCGATTTACAAGCAAACAACCGTTTTTCTTTTTATTTTTCAGAACTTGATGAAATTAATACCTTCAACATAAAGTGTGTTGAAAGCTACCAGCTTATAGTTATTTCCAGAAGGTCTCCACACCATGAAATCTATCCATCCAGACCTCGAATAGGAAAACTCCCACGACGTAATTCGTGAGCAAGATGTTATTCTGAATACAAAATCTGTCATCAGGTACATCATTCCTAAGAGTAAGATGTAAAGTGTTCCGTCAAAATTCATAAAATTAAAAAATCAAAAATAGATGTAGCTCAGTATAAAACGAGAAACTTTTCCATACAGAATTGTAAACAGGAATGTTTCAATTGGCAATAAGTACCTCTAGATCCGCCAGTGTATGCCGTCAGATCCTCGGGGTAAAGATAAATTAAGCTGTTTAGACATGGAGCAGCTAGAAAATAAGGAAAAGAAAATAGTTGTAATTTTTCCATCCTAAACCCTGCATTAAAAATTTCTGAGAAATATATTCTATAATAATATTACGATGTTTCATTGAGTTTTAACGTAAGATAACATAGAATAAGATTTCATTGATTCCTTCCATTATCTCGAGACCCCCTTAATCTTACCTGACACCAAAAAAATGAATTTACTTTTCAAATCACACAATATGCAATCAACTCCGGTGTTGATTAAAGAGAATATTACTAATTTAAATATTATATTCAACATCGCCTTTTCTAGAAAATAAACATCATATATCTAAGAAAGATGGTGTTAATTGTTATGAATTTAATTTAGTTGTGCTTACTGACTCCTTTGTTTCTCAAAGATACCCCAGTGGTAGTGATAACTCGTGGAGTTGGACACTTGCTTAGAGCCTCAACAACTGCAGCTTCAATGGAAGGTAAATCTTCATAGGAGGAGGCGAAGAAGTAACGGTTAATGTCATCAGCAGTTTTCTTATATTCCTTTGAAAAACTGCTGTTAATGTCTAAAAGAAGAAATGAATATAAGTATCAAGTGCATTTATGAAACTCAGGATGAATATATTCTACATACATGTGTGTTCATGATCACTCAAAGAAAGCTTAAGTAATCACTATGCAAAAAATGGCTCTTAATTAATTTAAAAAAAAAAACGAAAGATAGCAGGGATTCTCCTTTACCGATAGAATATATCTGGTTGGGCCAATCTGCTGTTATGACTGCCCCTTGTAGGGATGCACCAGCTCTAATTCCGTCCACTGAGAAAACGTAATAATTTGCTGCGTCAGCGCGATCGCCATTGTCTTCCGTGAAGTAAACAGTCCGTGCATAGGCCAGTGCTCTGTCTACGAGGTTAATTGGGTTTACACCTTCTTGTATCCTCATAATAGCATTACTTACTTCATCAGCGGTTGTGTATGTATCAAGGTCAAACTGCTTGTATCCTTTATAGTCGTATGTCATGGCACCAATACGGATAGAGTCTGATGCTACATTAAGTTGACGGGCTATGTTAGCAAAAAAGCTTTTTAGGTAAACAAAATTGGAGCCAGCAGAAGAACTTGATGCTTCCAGCATGAATAATATATCCAGTTTGCAATCTAAAACATTTAAATATTTCATATTAAATAGTTCTGTCTGAAGTTGTTACAAGTTAAACATTTTTTCATTATAAGTATGTTGAATAGGTTGAGGGTTTCCCTGTAAATTTGTCGTAGTGTATATCAACTTACTTGGTATTTCTATTTCAGTAGCATTTTCTGTCGGACACTGGGTTATGTTGGACATGACAACCTCATTGTCACACTGGAGGTCTATGAAGTTACTGGATTTCATGTATCTTCCCTCCAACACTGCACCTTGAAAATCCGCATCAAAGCTGGAGGGAATGTCAGCAGCTGAAAATGTAGTATACGTCGTAAAAATAGCGATGCAAAGTATGCATTAGTTATTATACTTACAAAATCCCTTGAATGGTCCTATGTTTCAATTGATTAATTACAGGAGGCCCATGGGCCAGATCGATCACCTGAGGACTGTGGCTAGAAAAAAAAATCAAAAATCAAACCAGCATTGGAAAAGCTTTATTGTCCCGACCTACTCCTAAAAAAGGGGGAGAGGGTTGCGGTATGATTTGAATGCCAGTAAGTTGAAACTTCACTAAAAATGGTTACATATTTCTTTGATTTACTGTGATTTTTTTCCTTACAAGTTTGTACTTTTGTTTTTTTCAAACGATACCCATAGGTTTATGATTTTAAAAAAACCTATGAATCGTCACTATCTGAGGTTACATGTAGTTCCACAAAAATATGATCAAACATGACATTGTTCGAAGTTTTTTCAAGATTTTTTTCAAGATTTTCCCAACATATTCCTGTTTCACTTTCTTCGTCCATTGTGGTCTTTATCTATCCACGGTGGTCATGATTTGAAAAAAAAAACCTAAAATCTACACAACCTGAGGATGCTACCATATAAATAAGACCAATCATGGCTTTGTTGCTGCTGACTAGGGGATTTTTTCAAGATTTTCGTTTTTGCTTGTCCATTGTAGCCCGCCCTACCCCCTGAGATCATGATTTGAAGAACCTTAAATTAAACTACATCTTTCCTGATTTAGTAGTTCTTTAGAAGAACATTTTTAAAACATGCCACCAAATTTTCATTTCTTAATTACCCCCCCCCCCTTACAAAATGGCTATGCCTTTCATTTCACCCATTACCAATGTATGTTTTGAGGCAAGTTTGATTGAATTTCGCCCAGTGGTTCCGGAGAAGAAGCCAAAAATGTGACAAGTTAATAGACAGACGGTCGCTGGACAAAATGTGATCAAAAAAACTCATTTGAGCTTTCGGCTCAGGTAAGCTAAACAAAATTAATAAAAAATCTTGAGAACAAACAACACATTAGTGCACATGTAAAGATAATTTAATGTTTACTTGCATATCCTTATCCTTACGATAAACTACGATTTAGGATTGAAGGAATAAAAGAATAACCTTTGTGACTCATAATACTAACAATCATATATTAACATTAATATCTCTGGAATTTAGTCCCTTATACAGGAGCATTTAATAGGTAACCATGAGAGGTGTAAGTAAAAGAATTACCAAGAATGAAGATGTCGACCATTGAATTGTATTGCAATGCTCCACCATATTGTGCAGCCTGCATTCCATAGGAACCACCGTATGTTAGCACAACATAAAAATTTTTGGCGTCAGCACGATCTCCGTTCGCTGTGGTGAAGAAGTTGAACATTGTATATAAGAGGGCCTTTTCCACATGACGGCGAGTTCTATTATAGGCACTGTTCCCTTGGACCAGATTGCTAATCCCAGATTTTAATCCAGCTGAAGTGGTGTACTGATTAAGTGGAAAAACAATGTCTCCATCGTCAGCATAGGTTACGACCCCAAGTCTTATTGCATCATCACCAATAACCATTTTGGAGACCAGACTCAGTAGAAAAGTTTTCATTTCCTGGAATTTTTCTGGGCTGATAGTGTCTGTATCATCAACAATGAAAACGATGTCGATTTTACAGTCTGAAAAAAAGTGTTTCAGCATGGTTATTAAGAAAGAAGAAAATTATAGTAGGTATAACTTGACCTAAAAATAGAATTGTACATATCTTAATTCAAACGTTTACATATTATGAAATGACAAGGAAAATCTTGCGTCTTGGCAGTCAACAACGCGTAATAAAAATCTGTTTCAGATCAAGAAATGTCTTTTGTATACCATTTTCATTATTCAAAGTAACTGCTAATTTCAGTGAATGTCTAAATTTGATTGATATTGTCTATCAAAGTTTTTTCACTCTTAATCCACATACATGTATTTTCTTAGACATGTTTTGTAACTTAAAACGTCAAATAATTTCATTTTGTTTATTCTTTGTTTAATTTGTATTTTTTAGGATTTATCCTGAATTAATGGGTATTACTGTATTTTCAAAATATGGTCTTTTTATTGCACTATTTCACTTTAAAAAAAATTACTGCACACCACCTCAAAACAAGGAATCCACCGTTTGAGTTTATTGTAAGTCTAGGTGTCAAGATCGAATATAGGCTTATCATGGTGTGACAGTCATTTAAAACCCAGTGTGAGTTATTAAAGCTAGTGGCTCAATAAATGAAATTAAAGTTAAAAGATATTTAAAATATTTGATAGAGGGTTTTTTACAATAAAATCTACTCCTCGGAAAAAAATGAACTAAAGCAACTTTTGTTCATGTTTATTTAACAAAGATAATTAATACTGCTTGGGATTGAGAAAAATGAGATATTCAGCAATGTGCAAAACTTAATTAACCTTTGGTATAGGAATGTATAAATCAAGCAAAATGAATACCTTGTGTTATATCTTTGATTTCTTCACATGAAGTGATATTCGCAACAATTTGCTGTCTAATGGTGAGTAGATCGTCATATTCAGCAACGTCGGTGTACCGTGTATAGTTTCCACATGAGTCAACGCACTCTTGATATTCAGTTTGATAGGTTCCACCAACGTCTGTAAAATGGTTTTAGACAATATCACTACCGGTATGTAACAAACAATGCCTATAAATATTTCATGCATTTTTAAAATTAGGTATAAATATATATACTTACGGACAGCATATATATAATTGTTTCCACTACTCCGTATATCTCTTGCAATAGGGGCTGTATTACTGTCAAATGGTCCAACTATGAAGAAATAGTAGTTATTTGCGTCTTCTCGATCACCCCCAGCGGCAGTGAACACGTCGTCCCGGGCCTTGATTAATCCTTCGTATACAAGATGATCCGATTTCGTTATTTCTGTCACTCCTTCTACTCCAGCTATCGCGGTCTCGGATGTCGAATAAGAAATGAGTCCAAATTGTTTTGATGCAGTGGAATCGTACGTGACGAGACCTACCCTTATACCGTCAGATGAAACGGGTACCTCCTCCAACAGCTCCGTAATAAATCTTTTTGTATAGTGCATTTTGTAGTTTTCAATGATAAACACGATATCCAGCTTGCAGCCTAAAAATGTGGATATAAATTGAAACATTAGAAATTCATTAAAAGGTTGTCTTTTCCTGAGGAAACTAGCAAAATTTCACATATATGTCACATTCCGCTGTGATTGAATGAAATGTAAAATCTGAACATTTTCAGTCAGAATGTAGGCGTATTTATTCATTTGGAATTAATTTTCTAGCGCATGACACAATGTCTAGATCATTGTTCATTGATCCAGTTTTTATTTTGACACTAATAATTAAATACATAGAATATACGCATACGAAAGGGTAGGTGGAAAATATAGGTGAAAAAAATATTTCCTGTGCAACTTTAGTGAAATTTAATTCAAACAAGACTAAAAATCGACCTGAATAACGTAAAGACAAAGTACCTCTATTTACAGCCCAAGAAAATATTAAACAAACACAATGCAATGTTATTCCTATCCTGAGGATTAATGTGTTTTGCACATTTCGTTAAATCAATTTCCCTAAAAATTCAAATTCATAGATTCCTTTTATGCTCATATTGCCTTTTGTTGTGGATAAAATGTGGAGAAATGCGAAAATCATCTTGAAGGCCTTTGAATTATTTGTATACCATCAGTTTCTCGTCTTTTATGTGCATGTTTTAAAATCGTCAATAGTTTTCAAGGAGTCAGAGATGATATTTTTCTTGATTTTAAAATATAAACCTTACTTGGTGGAGCAATTGTAGGTGCTTCTTCTGTATGACAATGAGTGATATTAGAGATGACCACTTCGCTGTTACATGACAGTCCTATAAAGTCGTCGGTTTTTATATATCTTCCTTCACTAACTGCTCCCTCAAAGTCCGCGTCATAGCTTGCTGGAACATCAGCTCCTTTAAACAAGAATTTTGAGGGTTTTTTTTCCAATGTTTATGTTTAAAAAAAACCTTGCAAATACATTAAAGTGTCTTCTTGGTACTTGCAGGACAATTATTCAATATAAAGAGACATTTTTTTAATCAGTTTTTTATTGTACTGTTAAATTTGAACACAATACTGATAGGTGTTTAATCATTTAATATATTTTTTAAAAAAGAGAACGAATTATGAAGTGATTTAAAGATTTCACAGATCCATCTGCGAACAAAAAATAGTGAAAAGGCAGATGCATGGACCGCCAGCTGTAAAACACCACCTTGCTGGATTTAGTGTCTAGAGGGAGTAATTATCCCTTGTTGACTTACCAAGGATAAACAGATCCATTAGGAAATTATAGTGTAATGCTTCCCAATAGGTCGCATCCTTAAATTGATAGGACCCTCCGTAGGTAACAACAACGTAAAAGTTTCTAGCATCCGGACGGTCACCGTTCGTCTTAGTGAAGAAATACCACAATGTGTGAAGAATGGCTTTATCAACAGAGCGACGACTTCTGCTGTAAGCTGTGCTTCCAGGGGCAATGTTTCCTATAGCTGTTATCAGTTGATCTACTGTAGAATATTGTTTCAGCGTAAAAGCAATGTCTGCTCCGTCACCATACGTCACAACCCCTACTTTTATCGCATTATCGCCAATAACCATTTTGGTGACAAGGCTGACTAAAAAGGTTTTCATTTCCTGGAACTTAGAGGCAGTGACTGCGTCTGTATCGTCAATTATGAAAGCCATGTCGATTTTACAATCTGAAAAATGTCAGATACACAATCAGTTACCAAGATTTGTTCTGAATTTCAAAGTAAACTACAAGATATTTAAAATGAAATTCAGGTTAGAAGTCAATTGTTTTTCTGACTCTTATATTTATATGATTTACATCTATACATGTACTATTTTCTAAAAGAAAAGTCGGGGTTGACTTAACAAAACAAAGGACTTTTAGAATATAGTAATTTATGTTATTTTAAGTATTAATTTGATAAATATTTTTATTATGCTATAGGAAAGAGAAGAATAGAATAACCACAGCTAGAAACCCAGCATTTCTTAGAGATCATAACTTTTGTCTTTCGAATGGTAAAGTATTTGTGATGCTCCTTCAGCCTATTTTATGCCTTTTTATTACTATATTCAGACATTTGTCTAAGTGCGTGTAAACAATGAAACATACCTTGAGTTAATTCTGTTATTGCTCGACAAGACGTGATGTTTCCAATAACTCTCTCTCTTACTGCAAGTAGATTTTCATACGAATCAACATTTGTGTACTTGGTGTAGTCTATGGCCACAAAAAAACAGTATATTATTTATCTGATACTCAATATATGATAAGAACCCGTACCCGGTAGACATCTAAAAAAAAGGAATTTTGATAAGATTTTCAAATCTCGTGAAAGCTTGTTTTTGAGTGTAAATCAAATGCATAACACTTTTCATTCAAGATACTTACGGACAGCAAATATATAGTTGTTCCCGCTTCTTCTGATGTCCCTTGCAATAGCTGCAGTTTCACTGTAAAATGGCCCAACAATGAAAATGTAATAGTTGTTGGCATCTGCACGATCACCCCCTGCAGCTGTGAAGACATTGTCTCGGGCATGCGTTAAGCCTTTATATACATAATGGAAGGCGCTATTACCTGCCTCGGATATCGCTTCAATGGCAGCTATCACGGCAGCCGAGGTTGTGTGTTGTGTAAGTCCAAACACTGTCGAAGCCCCAGAATCATATAGAACAAAACCAACCCTTACTCCATTCGAGGACACCGGGATCTGCCTGATCAGTTCAATCACAAATCTTTTTGTATAATGTAGATTGTAATTTTCAACAATAAACACCATATCCAGTTTGCAGTCTACAAAATCAAGAAACAATATCATGTTGAATTTTAAGTCTGAGTGCCATTTCCATGAATTTTCATGATGACAGAAAGTATGACTAATTTGATTTGAGTAATTTGAGTATTTCCTTGAAGAATGACAGAAAGGATTGGAATAGTTGTGTTTTACTATCACTATACTATCACTATCACTATTAAAAATATAATTTATTAAAAAAAATAATTAAAAGCATTGGGTCGGGGTGGTGGTTATTTCATACATTAACATGTATTTAATTAAAAATCTTGCATACTTAAAATAAATGAAAACATGAAATATTAATACACTGTACTCGTAATTGTTAAGATTTAATGCATTTCACATGTTTTTCAAGAAAATAAATCGTTCAACTTGATATTAAATATGTTTGCTTTTCTAATAAACTACAGATGTCTTGAAAAGTACATATTTTGTTTAAAAATTGAATTACATGCATGACAAATATAGCATCATACTAATTTTCAATGCAGTGGCATTCAAAAACTTTTATTTGTTTTAAGTCTGAACAAAAATTAGGAATTATCTGTTTCATATTTATAAGAATACCGTAAATGCTGCTGATTTACTTATCAAGAAGTTATCAAGGAAATGTATACAATTGATACAAAATATTCATATTTTGAAAAATCAAACTTGGACCAAATATAGCCGAATCACAGCGTTCATAAAACTCTGAACCTACCGACGGTAACAGGTGCCGGTGCCGCCAGTGGACATTGAGTGACGGTGGTGAATACTGTGTTGTCACACTGATGGACGATGAAGTCGGCAGCCTTCATGTATCTCCCTGTGTCAACGGCTCCCTGATAGTCCGCGTCATTCGCCGTAGGAACATTGGCACCTAAATATCACAAATCATAAAAATCACGGAGTGTTAGCGACATTTTCACAATCACAGACTACATAATGTATACATTTTCCAGCAAAAGTATCTACATGTATATTTAAGTTTAAGCAAATGTCAATTACTACATTTCATCGAGTGTGTTATTTAGGTCCAATAACAAGCAAGGCACGCAAATGTCAATTACTACAACGATGTGGAAAGAAATTAATTTTACACGGAAAAATATTTTCTTTATAGTACAGTACTAACTATATATATAGGTGATAATGTATCATGCTTGAAAAAAAGGAATGAGACAATGATTTCTCAAGGGGGTTCACATATGCAGGACTGCCTTTTTGACAAAAATATATAGCACTGCAAATTTACTTAAAATGCAATCATACATTATTTAAATTAAAATAATTCGGATGAATTTCAAATCAATAAAACCAGTACTTTCAGTACTTTGTCCCTACTATATTCATATTGTAAACAATGAAAATTTTACTCTCTTAATTGATTTGTTATTGCGCGACAAGACGTGATGTTTCCAATGACTCTTTCTCTTACTGTTAGCAGATTTTCATAAGAATCAACATTCGTATACTTGGTGTAATCACCACACGAATCCACTGATTCCTGATATTCTGTATGATAAGAATCTCCCACATCTGGAAAAGGAAGTTTTATGATTCATACTTTCATCCGTATAAAGCCTGTATATTAGTCTAACTCACACGCATAATACTTTTCAAAGATACTTACGAACAGCAAATATATAGTTGTTTCCGCTGCTTCTGACGTCCCTTGCAATAGCGGCAGTTTCACTGTAAAATGGCCCAACAATGAAAATGTAATAGTTGTTAGCATCCGCACGATCACCCCCAGCAGCTGTGAAGACGTTGTCCCGGGCATGCGTTAAGCCTTTATATACGTAATGGTAGGCGCTATTACCTGCCTCAGATATCGCTTCAATAGCAGCTATCACGGCGGCCGAGGTCGTGTGTTGTGTAAGTCCAAACACTGTCGAAGCCCCCGAGTCATACAGAACAAAACCTACCCTTACTCCATTCGAGGACACCGGGATCTGCCTGATCAGTTCAATCACAAATCTTTTTGTATAACGTAGATTGTAATTTTCAACAATAAACACCATATCCAGTTTGCAGTCTACAAAATCAAGAAACAATATCAGGTTAAATTTTATGTCTGAGTGCCATTTGTGTAGAGTCAAAACATTACATTTACATGAATTTTCATGATGATAAAAAGTATGACCAATTTGATTTGAGTAATTTTAGGACTGGAGTATTTGCTTGAATAAGACAGAACGTATTTGGAATAGTTGTGAATGCTGTGTTTATTTTTTTACTACATATTTTTAAAAATTGAAAAACATACATGACTAATATAGCCTAATACTTATTTTTAATGCAGTGGCATTCAAACACTTTCATTTGTTTTAAGTGTTGAAGAAATATTAGGATCTGTTTCATATTTTAAGACCACATTAAATGCTTGTGATTTACTACTCTAGATTTGATCAAGGAAATGCTAACTTTTTATGATATTCATATTTTTTGAAAATCAAACTTGTACCAAATTTAGCCGAATTTAAACGTTCTTGGAACTCTGAACCTACCGACGGTAACAGGTGCCGGTGCCGCCGGTGGACATTGGGTGACGGTGGTGAACACAGCGTTGTCACACTGATGGACGGTGAAGTCGGCAGCCTTCATGTATCTCCCTGCATCAACGGCTCCCTGATAGTCCGCGTCATCCGCCGTAGGAACATTTGCACCTTAATATCATAAAAATCATGGATTACATGTTCTCTACAATAACAAATAATTTTAACCCATAATCATCGGAAGATTAGTCAAACACTAGTAGAATGTGTTATTTAAGTGATAAGCGAGGCATCATATGTCAAGTACTAAACTATTGTAGGATGACACCTACATTTGTACTTGATAGTATCAATAACTGTATAATTATATAAATCTAAGATTGTAAGCTTTTGGTATCTTACTAGTATTATTAGTTCATACATTTGCCTACAGAAAAAAATCATACTATCATAGCATACCATATATCATTTTTATTAAATGTGACACTCAAATATAAATATGACTACCCAGTGCACCCACTAGATTAAACAATAAATTAGAAATCATTAGACATAACTTTTTCATCGTTTTATCCAAGAGGGTTCAATTCTACAATTTCTGTAAAACTATCCCGATGCATTTAAAATTAGATTTATGTTTTTCAAACATTTTTAATAAAATAACGTAATATTCTTGAAAAGCGATGTTGAACTTTGGCACCGAAACACTGCCTCTCAAAATTTCTAAGAAACAAGTCAAATAAACCGTTTGGAGTAATTTTGCAGATTTTAGTAGGTTAAAGATCAAAGTCCACAGGACTCACCGATGGTGTTTTTCATATGTTGTTTTATAAATAGTACACAAAATGAACGCAAAAAAAACTTCACTGTAAAAATAATACAAATACGCTATAAACACTTAATAAACGTAATAAACGATAATTTAGCCGATTTGCAAATGTTTTGAATAGGAAAACAATTTGACAGCTACATTTACAGACATTCTACCCATTTGGACCAAATTTGAATGCAAGAAATGTTGAAGCAAATTTTTAAAAATTGAGGTAACTAAAGTAGTGCACTACATATCAAAAGAAAATAACGTAGACAACTTATAACAAGCATTTTAAATGATTTACCAATCACGAAAAGATCCATCATTGAATTGTACTGCAGTGCTGTTCCAATTTCTGTAACCTTCGATCCATAGGAACCTCCTGTTGTTAAGACAACGTAATAATTCTGGGCGTCAGAGCGGTCCCCATTACTCTCCGTGAAGAAGTTCCACAGTGTATATGTGATGGCTTTGTCCACAGACCGCTGACTCCTAGTATAGGCTGCGTTTCCTGGGGAAAGATTACTTATAGCCGTTATGACTTCACCTGTGGTTGAGTACTGGTTGAGCGGAAAAGCAGTAGTAGCACCGTCGCCAAAAGTTACAACTCCTATATTTATAGCGCTGCTACTAACAAGCATTTTCATAACAAGAAGTTCGAGGAAGACTTTCATTTCCTGGAATTTAGCAGCGGTAACTGAGTCCGTGTCGTCAATTAGGAATGCTATGTCGAGCTTACAGGCTGAAAAAAATTCGAAGTGCATGTAAAAGGAATATAAAATATTTATACAAACAAGCATTTGTATGATGTGTCATTGAAATTTTGTATAATAATTAACAAGGAGAGTCCAAATAGGCAAAGATCAATGATCAAGTCTTAAACCGACCGAGAGATGAAGGAGACTGATCACGTAGTGGAAATATCACCAAAAAAATTCTCTTGGGTAAGATATTGTTTTCTTCTCATGATTAGGACAAAAATTAATAAAGAAAAGAATACCCCAACCTTTTTCTTTTTAATTCAAAAGATATTTTTGTATTTCAATTAATTAACCTTCACTGTACATATAGCATCAAAAATTGGTTTGGGGTATCTAGCATGCAAATGTTTTCCTTCATACGAATCCCAAGTTGTGTTTGGAACTACATAAAGACTTTGTTTGTTTTTTAAAAAACTAGCTTGCTTAAAGTTTTCACATTTAATGTTTGAATGAAATATCAATTTATTGTAAATTTACTTTTTACCTTAATGTATTCACTTTAATCTAATCTTTAACCTTATAAAGTAACACATAACTCTTAAAATATACCCCTTCCGACCATTCAATTAAAACGTGCTAGTCCGCCATGTACAACAAATGCAGCCCGATTTCTACCGTGCATTAGATTTAACAATGTCTCAGTCTGAGCGAAATAAATATTCTTGGGCATTTTTAAATGCCTGTTTTTCAGATACTGAGGTTAAACTTTATCTAACTTGGCGTTGTGTAGTACATGTGTAACCCTTGGACTTCCGGTCAAGAAACTGTCAGTCATGCTTTTGAAACACGTGAGCCTGGAAAGTTGTTATGTATTGTATATTTGCATCAGCAGCTCTCCTTTTTCTTTTCTTTTCTTTTTGAGAATTTACAGCAGAGAGAAATGAAAATGCGTGCTTTCAGTCATTTTGAGGAAATATAGGCATCACATCCGGAAAAGAAAGGATTTTTTCTGGAATTTTAGTACAGTACTTAATATGATAAACAGCAACAAAACCTTAAAAAACTAAAATATTGTCAATAATTTTATTAATAATGCAAATTAATTTTTGATTTCTTTCAAGAGGGCTATAAATCAACTTCCAGTCATGGAATGAAATTCATTCAATCGTTAAATAGCTGATTTGGCAAAGTTAAATATAACTTTTTTATACATAGTTGTATCCCTTATATAATTTCCCCCATAAAATTAGAGTGTTGCTTTACTTTTGAGTTTTAGTATAAATGGTGAGATTACATTGGCTCAGTACATGTGTGTAATTATTGCGAGTAACTGATATTGCAAAGACCATTAACCTTAACTAAGAATGAAAAAAGACAAGTTTGAAAATTAGTTTGTATTTGGCTTAGACACGCTTAAGTGATACCTTGTGATTTTGCGGTAACTGACTGACAGGAAGTGATGTTTCCTAAAACTTGTTGTCGAACTGTAAGCAGATTCTCATAGGTATCAACGCTTGTGTATTTGGTGTAATCACTGCAGCCACCTACAGTTTCTTTATATTCAGTTTCATAAGTCGATCCGATATCTGAAATAAAAAAGTTTAAATGTGTAGCATCCTCCTCTGTAATAAAATGTTTTGCATAACATGATTAAAATATTCATGAATAAGAACTTACGGGTGGCAAAAATAAAATTGTTTACATCGCTCCTAATGACCCTCCCCACGGTGTCTGTGTCGCTATTATATGGCCCCACAACGAAGACGTAATAGTTGTTGGCGTCTGCCCGATCACCCCCTGCGGAAGTAAATACGTTATCCCGGGCATACATAAGACCTACATTTACATTATGATTGTTGTTATTTGTCTCAGAAATCGCTTCAATGGCCGATTTAACAGCCGCAGTCGTGTTGTGATCTGTGAGTCCGAAAACTTTTGTTGCTGTAGAATCGAATATCACAAAACCCACTCTTACTCCATTAAAAGAAACTGATATTCCATTCAATAGCTCTATCACATATCTTTTTATATATCTCAGATTGTATCTTTCTACGATGAACACTATATCCAATTTGCAGGCTGAAATGACAAAAGAAAAAGAAAACTAATGTCAAATGCAACATCTTCCATTTTACAGTACAACAAACTTATAAAGAAGTTCCAGGGACGGGCGTTTCTGTTTCGTAAAAAAGCAATCCGTTGCTTTCATTAAATTTATAGTATCTTTTCATGCCACGGGGATTGACAACCACTTCGTTATTCGTCTCGATTTGTTATAAGTGTTTTCACTATAACCGTGTTTACTGTAACATGTAATGAAGCTTTACATCTCCTTTCTGAAAGTTTCACACTGAAAAAAAATTTTGACTATCATAATAAAATTGACTAAAGTTATTAAATTATAATTTAACTAGTTAACACTTTAAATACTCTGACTAACATGAAACTTCACACCAGAAAATTTTTTGAGGCATTTATATCTTTAAATAAGTGTTAGTATTGCAAATTTTGGAAATGATGGTTGATATGCAAATAATATGTCATTTGAATATCCGAAATTTACATGTAAATATTGCTTATAGATAGTTTTTGTCTGTTTTTTTTCTATCTATATGTACAATGTTTGAAAATATTACGGTTAAAAAATTAGAAGTGGATATTTTACGAGATAGAGTACTCTAAAAGGTTAATGGTAACCAAGCACCAACAGATTTATGATAAACATGATGATTTAAACTTTCCTATTGTCAAGTTCCCTATTAATGTCATATATCCTTTAAAAGTTATACAAGAACTGGCAAAGGACGACAATACACTGTACATTAATGCATCTATATCTGCATGGTGTTATTATTTCTGCAAATTTTAAAAATTGATATTTAAAAAGATTTTTAAAGCTTTGTTATTATCAGATTTTCAAAATATACAAAATCATGAAGAAATAAACAAGGCAATTTTAAATTATTGAATAAATAAAGCACGAAGCCAATACTGTTAAGGAACTTTTGTTGGCGTGCGTGAAATAATCGCGAGCTTTAATATTTATTACCACGAACCATTTAGTTTGCTCTATATTTATGAATGTTTCCATAGTTGCGAAAATTAATCGCAAATTGACTTCAAACTGATTATCGCGAGTCGGTAGTAATGATCAGTTTACTGCATTTATAATTATACGTTCGTATTGTTATTACTCATGGCTTGCTTTAGATCAATTAAGCTTTTCAATTGATTTTATTGTCTCGTGTAATTCTGTTGATGTTAGCGTACTTGGTGAAGCAGCTGTTGGACTTGTCGTTGGACACTGTTTTATCATAGACAATACACTGCTGTCACACTGATGGGTGGCGAAGGAACCAGCTGCTTTGTATCTACCGGAAGTGACGGCCCCCTGGTAATCAGCGATATTGGTGGAAGGAACACCTAAAAATATTAGTATCAAATACCAATACTTATTGACTTGTTTGTAAGATGCTTTTTAAGCTCGAAGGAAAAATCTTTTGCGATATCGTACCACTTTGCATTTTCAAATAATTTTTAAAACAATCCTATATGTTTATATATTCATCTATTAGAATTGTAAATGCATACCGGTATAAAATAAATAAAAACAAGGAAAAACAATGTAAGTAAATTTTTTGTACCAGGCAAATAAAATGAAAAAGAACCAATTACTTAGTATGAAAATGTCGATCATGGAATTGTATTGCAACGCAGTTCCAATTCCAGTCACTTTTGATCCCGAGGAGGCCCCGGTTGTAAGAATTACGTAATAATTCTGGGCGTCAGAGCGGTCTCCGTTTGTTGGGGTAAAAAAGTTCCACAACGTCCACGTGATTGCCTTTTCAACATAACGGGTACTCCTGCTATAGGCCGAGTTTCCTTGTGTCAGAGCGTTTATGGCAGCGATCAAGGCAGGTGCAGTTGAATATTGATTGAGTGGAAAAGCAGTTGCAGCTCCATCCCCAAAAGTGACTATCCCCACTCTTATTGCATTGTCCCCGATCAGCATTTGACCAACAAGAATTTCAAGAGCAGTTTTCATTTCCGTGAATTGTGTAGCGGTGACTGCATTAGTATCATCGATGATGAAGACTATGTCAAGTTTACAAGCTAAAACAGTAAAAAATTAATCATGAATTGAAAATAAAAAAAAAACATCTAACTTTTTGAAATAATTTTTTTTTTACCAAAATCGTATGTCTTTTTAATCATATTATACAACTATTACTCAATATAAATTAAAGTTTTAGGGTTTTTTGACATTATAGACAGTTGCCTTTTCAATAAAAATGGAACTCGTATATTTATTTACCATGCCATTGGTCATTTGCAAAATTATTTTGTTAAATACATTCTATTTATAATACACACACAAGTACTCTAAAGTAAATATTTAAGGAAGCTTGAGTTTCTGATTGACAACATTTATGAAGTGTTTGGAGATCAGGTCTTCAAAACATCTGTCGAAATTACACGGTACCAACTGCGGCCTGTTGTTAGCATACGTTTTTTGTACTCATTAAAGAAAATTTATTCAAAAACCTATACATCAGAAAATATTTGTTGTGGTCTGTAACTTCATTTAGATACATCGACAGCGTACTATCACATGTACACTGTATACAATAGTTGTTTCCATTCATATGCCAACATATATATAACATGCATCCATATACCAGTCGATATGTGAACTTGATATAAAAATGTCAAAGAGTCTGACACATCTGTTTCACATTTGGATATCTTTACAAATAAACCTTAAAAATGTCTAACATCTGTTTCACATTTGGATATCTTTACAAATAAACCTTAAATGTTAAGTAACAACAATGTTTGTAAATAACCTTAGGACTTCAATTATTCTATCATCAACTTCTCTCATTAACGTAGCGATATACCCTTATCACCTGCAAGTGGGGTTATGTCTACCAGTTGATTCGACAAGCAAGCGCTTGCTCTATGCACATACAGTTTCCAACACATAGTCAGCTATTGACAAACACATTGAGGAAACAAGGATATTAACAGTCTCGTTTAAAGTCGTCATTTCGCAAGTTCATTTGGTCGATTCAATGATCATGTTATCAAAGTACAATCTTTCATTAAGTTGCATTGAATGCTGACCAACGTTTTTCATACCAATTGTTAGAACATTGTTTATACATATACACTGAATTGTCTATTAGTTTTCCAGGTTATAACGAAGTCTGTTTAATTTACGACGTTTATTGCGCCGATATTGATATATTATAGTGCAATAAAGCAACCATTGCTCGTGATGACAACAAGGCAACGACATTTCAGTAATATCTGATATATAACTGCATATGAAAGCGATAGAAAAAAAAACCCAGGAAGATTTGGATGATAGAAAAACTACGACTATGATCAACTTTTGACATTTGAAAACTTAAGTGACATCTAAATACCTTGCGTGTATACTGGAGGCTGATAACAGGTAGTGAGTTTTCCTTTTACTGTATTTTTAATATTGATCAAGTCGTTATAAGTAGCTGAGTTTGTATATTTGGAGTGGTCACCACAAGAACCGACAGTCTCCTTATATGTAGATACGTAACCGGTTCCAAGATCTAAAATGTTTGAAAAAAAATATTATTTTAGATCACGCTCTCTGTTCCTATACCCGGACTAAACACAAGTTACGTATCATCTAACTATATTGAAAATTGACGAATATTTACTTACGAACACCAAATATGATATTGTCTCCACTTCTTCTGACGATCCTTGCTGTTGTGACTGGATCACTGTAAAACGGCCCCACGATAAAGACATAATAGTTAACTGCATCTGTGCGATCTCCACCAGCAGCCGTGAACACGTTGTCACGAGCATGAATTAATCCTTTATCTACATAATGATAGCTGCTAGACGTCTCTGAAATTCCTTCAATTGCGTTTTTGACGGCCTGGGAACTCGTATGAGCAGTAAGCCCAAACTCGGTTCTTGCTCCATTATCAAATACCACGAAACCTACCCTGACGCCATTTGAAGAAATCGGTAAATCCTCAACTAACTCTGCCACAAATCTCTTTGTGAAACGAAGGTTGTAATTTTCGACAATGAAAACTATGTCGAGCTTGCAAGCTGAAAAAAGTTGAAATACATTTGATTAAAACATCTCATTCCACGAATTTCTATAGACTAAATAATTGAGGTATTTTGCATAAATGCAAACTTTCCTGTATATGTACCCGTTCAAAATGTCCTGAATATTTAGCTTGTCAATAACAAAGATGTACCTGAGTTACTCTATTGCTTATATTTCGATGACATGTCATTGAATATTTTGGTAACAAATATACATTATAGCACCATGATGCCCAGACATACCTACTGACGTAGAACCAGGAAAAGCAGATGTTGGACAGACAGCAATTTTTGTTAGAACGGTGTTGAATTTTGTAGCTAGGTCTGCTGGGGAGGTTGCCTGAACATAATTAGCTGTACTTCCAGCGGCGGACTTAAGATCATTGGCCAAAGTCGTGGTTGGGGAAATACCTGAAGTAAGAATATCAACAATAACCAGCAATATATGTATTTATTATTTACCTAAAGTATCATGCAATTTCACTGTAGATTTAACGCAATCACTGTGGTTTTCTGAATTCCATATCACCACTCTCTGAAACTGATGACCTAGTACGCAAAAACATTACTAATTATTTTTCTTGCGCGTTAAAAAGTCCATTGCTTTCATTGTTTGTTTAATGGATAAATATCATACAATTGATCTCTAAAGTTTTATTTTGCTAAATTTGGCTAGTTATGAGGGGGTATATAATAAATTTCTCGTTGACAGGCTCGGATCGCGTCTCGTTTGATCTGATGATCCCCACCTGTCAACTCGAAGTGATACGACCCTTCGGATCAAGTTACTATTAAAATAATATATATTTATGTATCGTTATGTTATGAAAACTTTGTTATATATTTCCTTAATAGGTCCTTCAGGCAATTCTCACTCTACGATTTTTGAAATTGTAAAGGTGTAGTATATCGTTACAGGATATGATTGTTTTATATCTGTTCAACCGAGCACCCGCTCAAAATGAGACGCCAACCTCTTGCTGTTGGAGACATATACTGGATTTAATGGATAAATATCATACAATTGATCTCTAAAGTTTTATTTTGCTAAATTTGGCTAGTTATGAGGGGGTATATAATAAATTTCTCGTTGACAGGCTCGGATCGCGTCTCGTTTGATCTGATGATCCCCACCTGTCAACTCGAAGTGATACGACCCTTCGGATCAAGTTACTATTAAAGTAATATATATTTATGTATCGTTATGTTATGAAAACTCAGGCAATTCTCACTCTACGATTTTTGAAATTGTAAAGGTGTAGTATATCGTTACAGGATATGATTGTTTTATATCTGTTCAACCGAGCACCCGCTCAAAATGAGACGCCAACCTCTTGCTGTTGGAGACATATACTCGACACTCAGGTCCATTGAGCAATTGAACATTTTTTTTTCGTGTCAAAACATATTTCGACATGAGACCACTGCGCCCGATGGGCGCTTTGCAAGATATGTAAAGAATTGTATACATAACAGAATCTTTGATACGAGCATTCTCTATCTTTCAATTGAAACATATTCCATCCCATATCAATCGCCATTGTGATGCGGTGGTCAGAGCGTCTGATTCGCGGAGTATAGAGCTGATCCTTTCCTCCCGGGTTCGATTCGTGCGAGACGTGGAGACTGGTCCTTCGGATGGGACCGTATCAATGGAGGTTTTGTGTCGCAGTATGTGTTGACACAAAAAGCAAAATGCTCTATGCTCAATGGCCCGAGGGCCTAGTATAGGTATAAATTTGCAGTCCTGCACCGGCAAGTGTGGCGTCTCCATGAGTGAAAAATTCTCGCGAGGGATGTTAAAAAACAAAACAAACACATCCAACATCAATAATACGTTCCACACCACCCTTATTCACGTTACGAGACAAACATTTCAGGAAAAAGAACTGTTAATCTTCTTGATAAAATGTTTCAAATCAAAATGAATTTAAAAAACAATTTCAATTATCTAATATTCTTTGAGCGCTTTGCAAACGAACAAATGATTCAAATGAATCAAATCAATGACAAATTTTAGATATTTATATTCCAAACCGAAATTATCCAATTCCAGAACAGTTCATACCCTCCTAACATTCCTAACATCTACTATACTTTAATCTCTTGCATTTCACATAATTTAAGTTATCAGATATGCATTCGACAAGGGTAAACAACAAATGAGAATATTTTTTTGCGTTAACTTTCGCGAGTAATAGCGAGAAAATATTATATTGACAGTACAGTGCATTATAATGGAAGGTTCCATTATTAACCAATAGTTATAGAGCGTAAAAAACGGGTTTTCGAAAGGTAATTCAGGTATTCACTTCTGGCACGAATTCGACAAAAATGGTCACCCAAGCAATTCAAAGACAAATCAGTGATACTGTACGCGCGTCGAATAATGAAATGCTGAGCAGTTTCTCGGAGCTTCTCGACAATAGGCTTACAGAGATGCAGAAAACAATAAATGAGAACCAGAAAGCTATTACCGATAGACAAGAGGTAGAACTGAACAAGTCAAACACATTAAAATTCTTTCGTGGGATATGAAATAAAACAGTTGACTTGAAAGAAATAAATGTTCTGTCAGTTCTTAGATAATATAGCGAACGAAAGAAACACATGGAGATAACGAACAGTGCTCAAGATCAGAAGTCCATGAAAGAATACAAAATAGGAGCAGAGCAAAAGAGACGTCCAAAACATCGGAGGTGGGATCAGGTCCCATGGAGGAGGAAGTATCCCCTGACGACCGGTCACACCCGCCGTGTGCTCCTGGCCATGATCGTGAAATAACGGAAAAATCTGTTGTCAGCATTTGACTCAATGATAAATTGTATTATTTTGCTGACAAGGTCATTGTGTCGACCACATAACTTACAAAATGATGACTTTAAACGAGACAGCTGAAATTCTTGTTTCATCAACTTGTATGTCAATAATTTACCTCTTTTTAGAAAGTGTTCATACTCAGAGTATGCTCTTGCGTATCAAATCAACTGAGACTGATAAACTCCGTGTGCAGGTGATGAAGGTATTTTGCTGCATAAGTAAGGGAAGTTGACAGAAAAGATAATGTCGACACGTTTATCATAGAGCATGGTTGTTAGATTACCATTAACGTTTTTTTTTTCAAGTAAAATATCCAAATATGAAACAGATGTGTCAGACTCTGTGGTATCTTTTATTTTAATATGAAAATCAGAACATTTAATTTCTATTTTGTAACGGTTTTTTTTTATACCGTGTCAAAGCAAAATACAAAAAATTATTTGAAGACAATGCCCTTTATTTATACATGTATATATTTCGCAAATCCACCCGTAAAGTATATAAACAACCCATAGACAGTCAAAACGAAAGGATGAGCCATGAGTTCACTAGATGACCCCCCCCCCCCTCGCCTCCCATATGATTATAATGGCAAAATTTATGTTTTGCTCTGTGATACCCGAAATAAGTGTCAGATTTAGATGTGTTGGTTGTGTTAGAATGTGCACATGGGGAATTGAAGCGTTATTTTTTCATTGCCTTGATGAAATAACTCTTTATTGATAACAAAAATAAAAGTAATGAATAAAAGTGTTAAAATTTCGCTTTATATTTTGTCGTAATGGTTTTTTTTGTTAGGTTTTAATTTGTTAGTTATTTCTCCTCAGATATTAATTAATTTATGATTTTATTAAAAAACAAAGTTCTTTGCATGAACTGCTCCCTAAGATGAACGTGCATGAGACATGAAATCAAAACGTATTGGGAACAACAGTACAAATTCCTAAAATAATAACTTGTATTAGTTTTTAAGAAAAATGGCTTTAGTAAGTATTGTTTTGAAAACATTTATTATTACAGTTGCAAATGACAACGACAACTCCTATTTTGATTGAACATCCGTTCATCATTATCACATAACATGACAAAGATCCACGATAACAGCATGTTGTACGTCCTTGTTATGTCAACATTCAGACATAATAATACAGTAGTCATTTTTGATACTTGTGGCACTTGCATTTGATTCAATAATTCTATGATGATACTACCCATGCAAGAAGTCCTGAGTCAACCCGTTGCACCAACGGCAACGTTTTGACTCATGATCAGGATCTCTGGCTTGCGAGGATGCCCTTTCTGATGTACACGAATTTATTTACTCCGTTTGATCACACTGAAAATTATATAAAGATATAGCATGCATAGTACATCTTCATGTATTTTTTTTTTATTTTCCTATGAAAATTCTTTAAATTGCTAAAATGAAATATATTTTTTGGCGATTTGAAGCTTTACATCAATTTAAACTTTTAAATTTTGGATCACTCTAAAAGGGGTCATTTTTCAACGGGGGACAATTTTGTTTAGGACTCGCATATAAAATAATGACCCCTGGGACTCTTTTTCTAGAAAAAATGACTTTTTCTACGGGTGGGGGTCCTTTTTCTGTCGTTGAAAAATGACACCCAGTCATTATTCGATGGGGGGGGTCATTATTCGTCTATATATATATGTACCTGACACATTTATTACAGAACGGGTTATCTCAACATTACGGTGGCTGGTATAGGACATCGTATGAGATTTTTTTTTATTAATTCGTGGCCACAAAGTAAAAAACCGTGGTCACGAAATAAAGTTGTGCTATATAATGCCATTTTTAGCTTCTTCTCTTTTATGTCATTCAAGAACGAACTTATATATTACTATCAATCAGTTGGAATGAGCCAGCGGGATATTTGATTAAAATGATTCAAAATTGTTCCCATCGTTATGGTACATGTATTGAATACTGTGCCTGAATCATAATTAATTATTGAAATTTAATTTTTGCGGTTAATTGCATGAAGAGCTGATAAACGCAAAGAATAATTGTGGTGACCATTAATCAAACCTATAAATAGTATGACTATCAATACTGATCCCACTAGTTCATCGCATTTCTTTAAACAATTACCTTTTATCAAAGAGCATGTACGCTTTCATTTGTATTAAACAGTTGAGTTTTATGTGAAAACAATCATGACAATATCTGAATATTGCTTTCATTTTGAAGAAGTAACGTTCCCGATAATAGGGGCCTACTCTGCCACTGATTGTTAAATAAATAAACATTGGGTGATTGACTAAAAAAGCCTTATAATTACACACTGTTTGTTTGAAACATCAAACAATAAATGTGTAATTATTTCGTGGCCACGAATTAATAAACAAAAAACTCTTATACCCTGTCCTATACCAGCCACCGTACAACATCCTGTGAACGTTGCCGTGTATGCGATTGAGTGGGCTCATGAATGTGCAGGTTACGATTTAGACGAAATTTAAGAAAGAATTTTTTTTCCATGTCAATATTATTGTTAATATATATAATACATGGTAATAAAGTTGCGAGGTCTGTTCACAACTCCCCTTGCATCCAGCGGGATCGACACAGGTTTTCTAGAGTTTTTTAATTCATGGTTTCATCGTTTTATCCCTAGTTTTTGCCTGGCCGGCCCTTATGTTATGTAGAGGGTGGAAATGTAAACATTTAGTAATCATGTAAAGAAAAGGAAAGCTAGCGTAATGTTTTTCTGCATTATAGTTGTTACATGTATGAATATTATGTTTTTGAAAGCGGTGTAAAACAGAAATAAACAAGTAGTCTGAAGGTATTGCATAAGCAATTCATGTCCTCTACCGGGTTCCCTTTTTAGTCAGCCAGCGGGCTGACTAGTTATGATACGAAGAACTTCAAATGCGCTTGCGTGTTTTGGAATTCTGGGAGGTAGTTCTGCAGTAAATCACTCTTGCTAATTTCATTTCAGTAAAATCAGTATAGATTCAACCAAGATATCCCTATTTAACACCTCCACGGTAATCTGTAAATTTAAATTCAGCTTAAACAGGAAGGTCATGTATGCTTATTTATTTACAGAAGTTTTATAAACGGTTCCAAACATTTTTTTTAAAACTGGCTCGCAGAAATTTAACTGGTTCTCATTGGATCTACGCAGCGAAGCATACAAGTTGAAAGAATTTATTTCACGAAGTGTTTGACGCGTCAAATGAACGTCTTTTGTAAAGTATATTAAAGGTATTTTACTTATGTATTAAAATTTATAGCATAAACAATGATTTATTACCGTCTTCCTCGGAAGACGGTATTTTCGAACGACTTAACAATTTTGCAAGATTTTCAATCTTAAAAAAATGACAAAACGAACAACAAAATCAGCAGTAATTAATTCCTAATAAAATGATTGTATAGCAATAAATAAAAAAAATCTCTTTAATTTCATTATAAATAAAATTTTATTTTTATTATTTTTACCGTTTGAAATTATTTTTCTTTTCCCCAGAAATACTTGTTTGAAGAAAGGAATGGAATCAGCCGAGGTTTGCCGAAAGTTCTCGGCCAGTCAAAGTTTACGGAGATGACCGAGCGACAACCGTGGTAGGGCTAATGCCAGTAAAAAGCTAATGTAGAAATACAAAATCAAGAAATTCAAAAGAATTATACGGCCTGATAGGCGTAGATGAGTTAACTGTTTAATATTGTTGCTTAAGACGGTAAGCTTTTACAATAAAGTGCCGCGTCCACAGCATGATACGCCCGTCAAAAAAAAATACAATTTTCTTGAACATTTTAGTGTGCAAGAAACTCACGTCAACCTTGATTCCAAGATTTCCATGATTTTTCCATTCCTTCGAATATTTATCCATTTCCTGTTATCTAGGCATTAATTATAATAAATATTACATCATTAATAAATTTCTATGCTGGTTGTGTTAGACCTTGTCAAATGCCCAAAATATTAAACAATATCAAATTAGTCTTAACATCTTAATCTATACCAAATTAATTTTGAAAAGAAAAGGCCTGGCCATCAAATGACATATGCTATAAACTGATCAGCACTTCTTTTGTCTAATCCCCAAAGGATACAGATAAGCCGCTTGATCAGCTAGCCTTCCTACATTGAACTCATTAATTAATCTTTAACTGGATGCTTGTCTACTATTACTACCAAGAGATGAATGGGTCTGCCATCTACCATAAGTTTTTTTCTATACATATAAAATATTCAAAAGAATTTTTTTGGTTAGATTTAATGTCCGACAGGTTTTAATATGTAATTTTTCATATGGAAATGCTGATTCCACCCCACCCCTTAAAATTAGAATTTAAATTAATAATTTATATAATAAGATTAGTCTATTATGCAATATCAAATTAGTTTTAATTGATTTTTTTTCATCAAATTCATTTTAAAGCCAACAAGAGCTATTTTTAATCCAACAGGCTTACCCATCTGCCCAATACCCAAGGGATGTAGATAACACTGATGTTCTATCAGTTAGATCCTCACACTCAAAAATCATTAATTTCTCTCTAATTTGACATGCAATTTTCTGTTATCAAAATCAGCACTTCTTTGTCTAGTGCTTGATAATTACACTCAAGGGAGAGGTAGGATTTCTCTAACATACATTATATTTGTTATAGATTGCTGTCAAGTATATGCTTAAAAAAATAAGTATTTTCTTGATTTAACACTTTTTTAATAAGAAGAGAGCAATACTCTTACATTATTTGGGATGCTTAAATGAATAGTAAAAAGACACATTTTTTCTTATTTCACTTAAATTAAAGGTCACAGTGACCTTAAAATAGGTCAAGACACACCTTCTACCCAAGATGCATAAACTATCCAAGTTTGATGATTGTTAGTCTTATAGTTTTCTAGTTATGGGCCGGAAAGGATTTTTCCATATTTGGCTATAACTTCTTAATAAAAGGTCAGAGCGACCTACTTTTTGTGCACGACACACCTTCTATCCAAGATGCATCAGATGACAAAGTTTGATAATCCTAGGCCTAATAGTATTAAATTTATGAGCCGGAAACGAAAAAGCTAACAGACAGACGGACAGACGGACAGGCGGACGGACACGAAGCCTATAACATAATACGTCCCGTCTTAAGACGGTCGTATAAAAGCTCTAGTCTACTTGTTACAGATTTTGCACCAGTTAATCAGTTTTTACGGGTTTTACTTTCCTTTTCATTAAATAACATTTCGATCCCGATGCAAATTAGCGAACTGATTTGTTAATGCATAGTACGGATACTTCGGGAAGAGACAAAACTGACTGAGCTTGCTCGTTTGTTGTCCACCGTTGAAAGTGGAGGATATTAATTTCGGTATGTCTGTCATTTCGTTCGTCTGCCTGTAGTTCTGTCTGTCTACAACACTTTCATTTTCCTGATATATTCACAATATTTTAGAAGCCTTTGAGAATATACAATGAAATTTTACACAACTCACTATGGTCTATGAACAATTCCTTTTGACTTTGAGGTCAAAAGGTCAAGGTAAAACATTCAAAATTCTGTCTGATTTGAAACTTTGTTTCTGCGCAATGTTTCGAGAAGCCTTTAAGCTTTTGGAAAGAAATTTTATACAACAATTACTGTACCTATGGCGAGAGGAAGACCCTTATTTTTTCGTGACTGTGTGTAAAAATTTCATTTCCAGTCAATATCTAAAAACACTTTTGAGTTTTTATAAGTAAAGGAGACTCAGATTCTCTGACTGAATAAGCTTGTTTTTTCATTGAATGAGACTATTTAGGTTGTGGCGATCAAATTTAGGAATTTATAGTTTTGTTCCGTTATAGTTAGGGATCTGAGACATGAATTTGCAAGTCTAACTTCAAAAAAATTTATTTCAATTCTACTTTTTTCACATTTCAAGTTAAAATTTAGTTAGCTACTCCAAATTAAGATAGTTAACAAAATGAAAAAAAATTACGGATGTATTATGCAAAGATTAAGCTTAACAAAGCATACATGTTGTATGCAAATGGGACCTGTATGCATGATTTTTTTTCTTTTCTAAAAGTACTAGAAAATGCACCGGGTATTTCAGCGGTCCTTTATCGACATTCTCAATTAAGTGTTAAGTATGGCTATTACGGTATCGTAGGGACAAACGCGTCTCCACTGTCTAAACACAGTAGCACCGAGTGATTCAGCCAACATGACATACTCCAACAGGGGTAATAGTAAAGCTTATGAGACCCCGTTTGTTGGCCGTGGGATTGTTAAAACTGCCATAATGCTCATGCTCCCACCCCCTTTCCTAAAACCCTGTAAATCCGATAAGATTGGTTTATAACTTCATTCATGGAATTATGCTTTATGAATTTGAACTTTAATTAATATTATACTTTCTGTCCTTTTAAGAGACAAAAATGAAATTATAGAATCTGCATACACCAGTGCTTTTGTTCCTATGCGGAAAACTGTTACGACGAGGTTTTTTAAAGTAGCCATTTCTCTACCATTTTTAAAAACATTATCACAGAGAAGAAAAATCCTCTGGCTGACTCTCTAAGCTTTTTTAAAAAGCTAAACTTGTTTCTCTTTAGGATACAACCTCTTTCTGAACATCATTTTTATTGTATCACGAACCCGATCGTAATCCCACTATTAAAAAAAATGCTAGCGGAACGAAATTCAAACTTGATCTGTAACTTATCAAGATATACGCCTGCATACCAAAAATCAACTCAATATCTGCAACCGGAAACCAAATGGGACAGACTGACAGATGGCGGGACAGACGGACGGACAGACTCAGAGGAAATCTATAGTCCCCTCCGGTTTCACAGGTAGGGGACTAATTACGGATGTCCAGCAATCACGTCTGGCTGTCAGACATTGTATGTTTGTGTTGTGTTTTACTTTAACGTTAGAAGAGTTACATGTAATTCTTTAAATCATCATCCGTTTTTTTTAAATACCAAACTGTCAGATCTTCTCCATTTCCATAACGACCGCCATGTTCCCTCACAACTTGTAAATAACTAGAATTTGAACTCCTGATGCATACGTCACCAGATACGGGTAATGTGACAATTTGCTTTCACCTTAGAACTTCCATGATGTAACCTTTATGTACGTTGTTTTTACAACTTGGTATAGGCGATAGATGGCATGTGACTAATAAGTGGGAATAACAAAAGCCACTCTCATGGCCGCTGAGCTGTATTAAATCGTCAAAGTATAAAAAATTATATATTATAAAATGAGAAAAAAAAATACTTTTCGTTCTTACGATCTGACCTTATTTTTAAAATACAACGATCAAATTTAATCTAATTCACATCATAACTCAGTGATAATATCTTCTCGAATCTTTTTTCAGAAATATAAGAAATATGAAGAAAAATCCTTCAAATGCATAACTTTAGATCCATATTAAGTTTCTACAATTTTATAGTGTTATATATACTTCCATCAACTGTAGAGGACGGAACCAGACAATGTTCTGTTTTTATGTCTTTTACTGTGAATCTATAGAGAAAAAAAACACTTAGTATGAAAAATTAATTTCAGCAGAAAAACAAAATTTTAATTTCTTACCGATTCCGAACACCCGATTCTTTGCCACCTGTCGTATATTGAGTCCAATAGCTGAACCGGCATTTGTAGGGCTTGATTTACCAACAATAACGAAATATTTATATGCTTGAAATCTGTTTCCATTTGACAGTTTAAAAAAATCGTAAAATGCAACACGTAATGCCTCGGCCAGGTTAACCGTTGTAGAGGCGCTTGGTATTGTTAATGCCGTAATTGCGGTGTCCAACGATGCCGCTGTAGTATAAACGTTAAACTTGAAATTCTGGTCGATAGCATTGTCATAGGATATCACCCCAACTTGTATATTACTGGTTGAAATTTGCATAGTCCTCACCAAATCACCAATAACCGATACTAATTCAGAGTATATAGAAGAGGTGTATGAGGAAGCCTCTATAATAAACAGGATGTCAATCTTGCAGGTTGAAACTGAAAAACAATTAAACATGCATCTGAATTCTTGTTTGAAACCTATATTTTAATCATTTCAATCAACTTAAGTAAGCATGAAAAGACAAAAGCTAAATCCTGACCGGAACAGACAAGTTGGTTTCCCGTCCAGAACTTTCCGTAACATGTACGTTGTGTGTTTCCAGCAACCTGTTTGTATCCTGAGTTACATGCGTAAGTGCTGACTCCATTACAGCCTGTAGAACTTGTTTGAACGTTCACGTTACTGTTTAATTCATGGGTACACGCAACATCTGGAAAAAAAAGAAAATTGCAAATGAGGAAAAAACAGTACATGTACAGTGTATGTAATATAGAACTCGATACTTGCGCGGAAGTACTAGAATATACATGTATGTAGAAAAAATATGTTACATGTAATAATTCAATATGATTAATAAATTAATGTTTTTAAATCATTTATTAAAAATTTTAAATCATAATTCACGTAGTCTTGCAGTTTGACCCTAAGTCACTTTTCTACGTTGAAATTTGACCCCGGTCAATATCCTATGGGTGTCACTTTTGCCGTTACACAGGAAGATAAAACACAGCTTTATGTTTATCATCATGACAAGGGGAAATTGTCTAATTAAAGAAATCATGAAGCGATCTTTTAATGGTTCTTGGTATCTGCAAAATAAGTACCTACAAGAATTCTACAATATCAGGCTTTAATTTGTATTCGTAATGATTATTTGGTCTTTTATCATATTCAAAATACAACGTAAGCTACATTCAACAGGGAGGCGTATGTTCTATATAAATCGTTTAACAATTTTCTTCTGG